CCCTCACCCGTCAAAATCCTCCACCAGAGCAATACATTTGTTATAACTGGTGAACTTATGCTGACACATCATAATCACCCTAAATCCATAGTTACATTAGGGTTCACAGTTGGTGTTGTACATTCTACTGTTTTATTTGTTGGGTTGAAAAAAGAATATAAAAGATGAAAAAAACAAAAAGATTATTTCCAAACCTCAAAATTTCTGGCAGCTTTTTCCCACAGAATGTCATGTAAATAGCCTATTGATTCTGTTGTCAGTTTTCTTCCTGTTTGGTGACCTGAAAAAAAAAAAACCTCACAATCTTAAAACAGAAATCAAGATCTATTACATTAAATAAAAAGAGCTAACTATAGTCAGAACCTATAATCTTTAAGTAATGTCTATAAACACAATCACATTCAGACAGGTTTTCAACATCAATTTTAAGTTTACTAGTAAAACTGAATATATAATATAATCAGAGATTGGTAGAATCACAGTAATTTGCCCATTCATCTGTGATAGTTTTCCAGCCTAGTCTCTCTTTAACATATTTTCCATGTTCCAAATTTGATCATCATCTGGTGCCTTGTTATTGTGAATGAAAAGACAACTAGATCAGACCACATTCACAGGAAAGGGCAATTATACCTTAAAGCCTTTGTGAAATACTTTAAAACCATGTTTACACATAAACTATTATTTTAAATTTTAACACGTATCTGACTGTTGCTGGTCTAGACATTTACTAGGTTCAAATATATTAGCACACAGTAAGGTAAAGTTTAAAACAATAGAATTCTATAAACACTTCTCTTTCACCCCTTTGGCACTATCAATTGCCACAAAAATCTTGATTAGAACACTGACAGTCTCTGACCCCCAAGCCCAGACAGCAGATGTAGTTCATTCCATGACTTAGTTAAAAATACCCACACATGTGAGGAAAAAGCTTTTAAATATATCTAAAAATATTATAATATTAATATATATTAAGTCTTAATATATCTTAAAATATTATAATACTTTGAGAGTATAAGTATATAATCAGATACCACAATAAAACTTTGGCTAACTGTAATCAGGAAAATTAGTTATTCTGGATAATCAAGTTTTCTAGTTGGCTGACAGTTTACTTTCATTAAACATAAAACGTTTATTTTAAAAAGTCTAAGTCATTTCATTAATTTCTTAATTTTTCTAAAAATTGTTTTATGAATTATGTTTTTATGAACATACTTTCTAGTTTTCTGAAGAACAATTTAACCTTTGCTTGATCATTCATGGTCAACAACACTAACAGCTATTGCATTTTATTGTATTATTAATATATCACAGTGATGCCTTTGGGAATTATTATATAGTACATGTTATTTAAAATACTATTTTTTAAATCTTTAGAACTTTTATAAAATTTGTAGTTTTTTCTTGCCTCGTAGTCAGTTTAGCTATATATTATTTCCATGTAGGCCTATTCACTCTTCAAAATATTCTACCATTAAAATGCTAAGGGTTGGAAAACCAGATGACGAAACTTATTATAATTAGATCTAAAAAAACTGGATTCTTAGTGAGGGTCTGGAGAGAGAGTGTCCTCAATGAAATATGGTTCATAGAATCTAGAGTTCAAAGATTCTTAGAGACTACCTAGTCAAAATACTTTTTTCAAAAAATCAATAACTTTGTTCTTATAAAAACATGATACATACTTATAAAAATTCAAGCAATCTGGTAAAATATAAAGAAAGCAACAGATCACCTAAAGTGCCACCATCAGAATAAATGATAGTGTTAAAATTTAGTGACTATCATTCCAATTATATCTCTACATATATGTAGACTTAGAAGAATAGATTGGGGCAAGAATTTTCTATGAAAGGGACCCTACTAACTGTGCTCTTCACAATACATGATTCTACGGAGAAGTGGGGGTTAGGGGAATGCTAAGATTTGGCTCTACAACTGTGCTTTAACCAAAGCAGTTCCATTGTATTTTATTTGGGCAGGGCTCATATGAGATTGTATCAAACAAAAATGCTACTGCTAAAAAGAAGTTAAAAACCAGGATTGTAGTTCATAACCTTCATTTCATAGTTGGAAAAAAACAAGATCTAGAGGTATTATCGACTTGCCTAAAGGCACACAGCTAATTTGAGATCTAACTGGAAATACAAAATTAGGCTTCTAAACACAATTTTCTTTTATACATGGGTTTTAAAACTCAAAAGTTTGTCTGTTTTTAATGATTGATTTTGTTGTTTTTGCTTAGTTTCTCATTTTAGCTTTCCAAACAAGTGGAATCTGGATAGGCGAGGTGTTATAGTTAAAGGTTATTAGGTGGAAACCAAGGAAGTGAGAAAAAGGAAAAATCTTTTGACCTGAGGATTTTGCTACTGTTCTGATATCTATCTTTAAATTACATGCATATTACTATCTTTCTAAAATATCTGCAGAAATCCTACTGACCTATCATGATTTCTTCAATCTTCTCCTTGGCAAGTAGCTCTTCTTTCCTTTGTAAAAGTATGTCAGCCTGGAACACTAAAGCTTTTCCAATATTTTCTGATGACTTGAAATGTTCACAGATAAGCTCCATGAAAGTAAACCCAACAGAGTCTCTGTTCAGAGAGAAACAGTTGTAAGTGGTGTGAATACAATAAATGTTTTTTTGATTAATGGGACTAAAGTTTGAGTATGAGCAAAACAGGCAAGATAAAACTATATCTGAGCTTAGGTTATTATCATTAAATATCTAAATCAGCCTATTTGTCCAAATAAATCATTTAATTCAAATTGTCTAAGTTATTAAGTCACAAGTATTTTCTTTTCATGAACATCTATCTATAGTAAGATAATCATCTCTCTAATACCTTATTTATGCTCTTTCTCCAGAAATGATGCCAATTTATAAAAATTGGATCATGAGATTCAGTGAAGATACATGAACTGACACTAGAAATTTACCAGTCACTTACAAGGAGAATTTCTAGAATCTACTCTCTTAGCAACTTTCAAATACATTACACAGCAGTGTTAACCACAGTCACCATGTCGTACGTGACATCTCCAGTATCCAGTTACCTTATAACTGGAAGTTTATACCCTTTGACCCCTTTTCTCAAGTCATTATGCTGTACACCTTTAAACTTATACAATGCTGAATATCATTTATATCTTAATAAAACTGAAAGAAAAAAAGCGATTTACCCATTCCCTCTGCCAACAACTGCTTTTAAAAATTTATTTATGTTTGATTACACAAATAATACACCAGTATATTTTGATTATTTTAAAATGTCAACAGTTTGTGGATTGGAAAACTTAATATTGTTAAGATGTCAATACTCTCAAAGAAATCTACAGATTTTATGCAATCCTTATGAAAATCCCAATGACATTTTTTACAGAAATAGAAAACTCCATCCCAAAATTCATATGGAATTTCAGGAGATCCTAAGAGCCAAAACAATCCTTAAACAGAAGAACAAAGCTAGAAAAATCACACTTCCTGATTTCAAAATATACTACGAAAGTAAACAAAACAGTGTGGTGCTGGCATAAAGACAGACATATATACCAATGAAACAGAACATGGAGTCCAGAAATCAATTCCTGCATATAGTCAAATGATTTTCACCAAGGGTGCCAAGACCATTCAATGGCAGGAAAGAACAGTCTTTTCAACAAATGGTGCCGGGACAACTGGATATCACACGCAAAAAAATGAAACTGGATTTGGCAATGACTTCTTGGATATGACACCAAAACCACAGGTAACAAAAATAAAAACAGATATAGCGAACTATATAAATTAATTTTAAATTTCTGTGTATCAAAGGACACGATCAACAAAGTGAAAGGCAATCTATGGACTGCAAGAAAGTATTTGCAAAACATGTATTTAATATCCAGATTATATAAAGAAGTTCTAAAACTCAACAAAAACCTAAACACCCTGATTTAAAAATCGGCAAAGGACTTAAATAGACATTTCTCCAAAGAAAATATATAAATGGCAACTATCTCATGAAAAGATACTCAATATCAGTAATCATTAGGGAAATGCAAATCAAAACCAGAATGAGATACCATGTCATATTTCTCAGAATGACTACTGTCAATAAATCAACAAACAACAGGCGTTGGCGAGGATGTAGAGAAAAGGGAACCCTCATGCACTGTTGGTGGGACTGCAAACTGGTATAGCCACTGTGGAAAACAGTTTAGAGGTTCCTCAAAAAATTAAAAACAGAACTACCTCATGACCTAACATTTCTAGTTCTGGGTATTTATCCAGAGAAAATCAAAACACTAATTTCACATGCATTCCTATGTTCACCTCAGCATTATTTATAATAGCCAGGATATGGAAGCAAACGAAGTGTCCATCAACAGACGACTGGATAAAGAATTCAGCCCTAAAAAAATGAAATCTTACCATTTACAACATGGATGGACCTAGATATTATGCTAAGTGAAATAAGTCATACAGAGAAAGACAAATATCATATGACCTCACTTATATGTGTCATCTGTAAAACAAAACAACAAACGAAACAGAAACAGACTCGTAGATAACAGAGAACAAACTGATAATTGCCAGATGGGAAGGGGACTGGGTGAAAAAGAGGAAGGGATTAAGAAATACAAACTGGCAGTTAGGAAAGAGTCACGGGGATGTGAAGTACAGCAAAGGGGGTACAGTCAATAATATTGTAATAACTGTAGTGCCAGGTTGGGGGTGGATTAAAATAATCAGGAGGACCACTTCATAAGTTATGTAAATGTCTCACCACTATGCTGTATACCTGAAACTAACATAAAATAATACTGAATGTCAACTGTAATTGAAAAAATTTTAAATATTTTTAAATAAAAATCCTAAAGTGTGAGTGAGGAGGAGTCTTGTGGGATTGAGTCCTCTTAATCTGTGGGAGGTGATGTTATGTCCAGGTAGATAGAGTCAGCATTGAGTCAAATTATAGGATACCCACCTGGTGTCACAGAGAATTGCTTGGTGTGCAGAAAACCTCCACACATTCGATGACCGGAAGTAAAATGTTTTGTGCAGGTAGTGAAGGAGACTCGCTGGGAAGAAACGCATGGGAGAAAAATACAGTAGCAAAGAGCTAGGTTTTTCCCTGCAACAGGAGGGAAGAACTGAGGTTTTTCCTTTTAGTACAGCTCTTGGGTACTTGATTGAACTGTGAAAGTACAACATGTGGAATTCCGGGATCGAGGGCAACTGATACTGTCAAGATCTAGTTTTATAAGCCCAATAAATTAGCCATGAGGCGTGGTTGCCAGAAAAGAGCTAATGTAAACACTGGCTGGATTAAAAGCAGCAGAGTCCAAGACAGTGCAGCCCCGCAGATCCCCCTGTGCTGATGGACATGTCCTCTGTCCGTGCCGTCCGTGCCGTCCGATGAGGTGGGCCTCAGCCTGTCGTGGCTGCTGCGCCATGACAGATCTAGTGAGACTCAGGGACTAAATTTTTCATTTTGTTTAATTTTAATTAATTAATTTACATTTAAACAGCTACGTGTGACTAGTTGCTACCATATTGGATAGCACGGGTTTAGAATATTTAGAACATGAAAGGCATGTACTGTTAGTTAGATCTGGAGAACTGTGTTCATTTCTAGTTACCATATTTATAAAAACTGGAAGTGACATCCTGGAAGTGAGCTTATTAGGAACACTGTTAGAATGAACTGGGGAAGAACTGTCAAGTGAAAGATTTAGATGTTACCATATGGCAGAACTAGCAGCCTTAGAAATTACTAGAATATATATATCAAATCTATATGAGAAAGAGTTTTGCGTTCCAGCTTTGTAAAAACACAATAACGACGATCCCCCTTTCCACAGGCATTCCAGAGGAAGCTGAATGACTTTCCATCCCGGAAGTCGTGTGTCAGGTAGGAGACAGGTCTACAAACAATGGTTGGCAAGCCACAGCCCACAGGCCAAATCCAACTAGCCATCTGCTTTTGTAAATACAGTTGTACTGGAAGCCAGCCATTCTTGGTCATTTAGACGGTGCCTCTGGCTGCCTTCTACTACAACAGCAGATTGAGTAGGTGTGACAGAGACTTTGTGGCCTGCAAAGCCTGAAATACAGTATTTACTACCTAGCCCTTTATGGAAAATGTTTACTGATCTCTGGTCTAAAACAGTGGTTCTCAGAACTGCCAGAGAACGAACAAAGAACACAGAGGCCTGGGCTTGTTCGAGTAAGGTAGGGTCGGCCTCTACATTTTTATGAAGTCCCCTAGTGATCATATTTTTCACAGCTTTACCGACGTATAATTCACACCCTATACAATTCATCTATTTAGAGTACCTGATTCAAAGGCTAAGTTTAGCACATCCACAGAGTGTGCAACCACCACCCCGGCGATTTTAGAGCATTTCGCTGCACCAAAAAGAAACAAAATACCCATTAGCCATCACTCCCCATTTCCCCCAACTCCCACAGCCCTGGGCAACCACGAACCTACTTTGTACCTCCGTAAATATGCCTATTCTAAAATTATCATAGAACTAGAATGAGACAGTACATGGCTGTCGTAGCTGGCTTCTTTCACTTAGCATAATGTTTTTAGGATTCATCCACGTTGTGGCATGTATCAGTACTGTTTCTTTTCACTGCCAAATAATATTCTACGGTATGGGTAACAATACCACACTTTGTTTATCTATTTATCAGTTGACAGACATTTTGGTTGATTCCACATTTGAGTATTCAAAATAATGCTGCTATGAGATTCCTATATAAGTGTTTGTATATGTTTCTTGTTTAATAACTTGGGAGTGAAATTGCTGGGTCACATGGTACATAACTCTATTTCACTTACTGAGGAACTAACAGACCATTTCCGTACTGGCTGCACCATTTTACATTCTCGTCAGCAGTGTATGAGGGTTCCAATTATTCCCCATCCTTGCCATTATTTTATTATCTGTCTGTCTTTTTTATTACAGTCATCCTAGTGGGTGCAAAGTGGTTTCTCATTGGAGTTTTGATTTGTATTTCCCTGCTGGTTGACGAAGTCGAGGATCTTTTCAAGGGCTTGGTCCCCAGTCACTCTGAGGCACACTGACGTCTGAGAACCACTAAAAGGTCTGCAAGTACCTTAAGGTCCCCTTGACATGGATGACCCATGAAGATAGTGACAGAGAGGCATATCACTTGCAGAACTGTACTTGCTTACGCCTTCCTGTTCCACCAGACGCTGGCCTGAAGGTAACTTAGTCTTACTCCTGTTTCATAAAGCCACACTATCTTATTCCTTTTTCATTTTATTTTTTTTAATTTAACAAAAATTTTCAAATTAACTTGACAATCGATCATTTAAATCATTAGGCAAGCTGTTTCATCATCTAATTTGATCAGCACAATGGCAAACACTGTGCTCTGTGAATACAGATGGAGATACATGATACATAGACACAGATATATATTCAATATATGCTCGTGGAAACCTTAGAAAAACGTTAGTCTTTAGAGAAAAGAAAATTAATTCTTCTGTACCTTCCGTGATCAATCAGCTGTTTGGCGATGTGCAGACAGAAGTCTAAAGACATGTTGAGATGTAGTATTTCCATGCCAGCTAACAAAGAAAAAATGGAATAATCATATCAGTTTCATTTGTGAGGAAGTGTAGCTATTTTCAGTAATTTTTCTCCATTCAAAATCTTCCTAAACGTTTGCCATATACCATGTCTTGCCAAACAATTTATCGAAATCTCTTTATGAATAATATCCAATGCTAGAAAGAGTGCAGTGAAACAGGCACTCTTAAATGAATGGCAAAGTAAACAAGTAGGATCCTTTTGAAAAGCAATTTGGTTATACTACATGAGAAGAACACAGTGGCTAAAAGCTTGAGGTGTGAAGTCAGACAGACCTATATTTGAAACCGCTTGCTACCTGTATGGCCATAGGCAGGTTACTTACATTTTCTGTACCTTAGTTCTCTCATCTGTAAAATGAGGACTACATGACCAATCTCTTTGGGTTACTGAGAGGGTTACATAAGATAATGCATGTAAATTAAATAGCAAAGCTCCTAGTACTTAATAAGCACTCAATAAATGACAGCTGCTATTATTATTATTATTATTATTATCTTTGCTTCAGAAATGATACTTCTGAAAAGTTATCTGAAATAAACATGGGAAAATGTTCACAAACAAAGATATTAAAAGCAGTGTTGACTATAATCACAATAAAAAAGACATTTACTCTGGGGGTGCACTGTAGGGCCAGAACTGTGCTTGGTGCTGGGAACCCAGCAGTGGATGAAACACAAAATCCCTGCTGTCAGGAGCTCAGATCGCAGAAGATGGACTGTGGATATGTTTAGTATTTACCAAAAATTTCCTTAATAGGCATGTACTACCCTTTCATAATTAAAAAAAAAAAAACTTGTATATTCATTTAATTTCTACTTTTTCTACAACAAAAATACCAGTGAAATTTTAATGCCAGCAGTTAGGTTGACCATTCTAAGAATAAAGTACTTTAGCTAGCAAAAAAATAAAAAGATAATAAATACGAGTTTCATATGTTCTCTCAATACAACAAAGTAAAAGATAATTTTATTACTCTAAACTTTAGAAAATTTAGATTCAGAGAGGTTTCCTAATTCGTAATCTGACACTGCAACTTCATTACTCTGAAGATTAAGAGTATCTAGACTGAGTTAAGTAAAAGCAATCTGGAATAAAGAACAATTTCACTTTAAACTGTGCTTTTGATCTACATTTTGATAAAACCTGTAATGGGGAAATCTAGTCCAAAATTAATCCACTTCCAACTCGGTAACTCCAACAACCTCTCTAGTCTTCACACATTGGATTAGTTTGAGGAAGCTTGTTCCTTTAATCGTTTAGTCTCATTATTCCCCTAGCGAAAGAAAGGTGCAGCTGTCTTCCCAGTGACTAGCATCATTCCATCTGCATATACTGAGATGATACTGTTACCTAGAGACACAGAATCTTCTACATTGCAGCTTCTGAGGTCTCTTAGCAATTGCTTAAGATTCTAGAGGTTACAGAACGTTTCAGCAGCATGAAATTAGCATAAATGTAGAGCTGCTTTCAAATTTGGTTATTGTCCTCATTACAAATTGTTATTTATTGGATGATCAGTTATTATACTAACATATAATTTTATACCCTAAAAATGCAGCTCTATAATACAACTATATTTTTATACAGTAAAAAACATAAAGCATGTATAGATTAAAAGAATTTAGAGTAAGTTATTTTTATGACTAAACATAACTGAAATACTGCTAAGAGGCCAGCACGCAGAGGTTTTCTGCCTCATTTAATACATCTATACAGCAGTAACAACAGGGATAGTAGTAACTATGATAATATTATTGCACACCGTGCACCAGGGATGGTGGTAAGCGCTTTACACACATTTTCTCGACGAGTCCTCAGAACACAGTGAGGGAGACACTATTCTATCTCTTTTGAAGGTGAAGAAACTGAAGCACAGAGAAGTTAAGTAACCTGCCAAATGACCCACAGCTGTACAGCAGGATGTTTTACTTTGTGAGCTGTATATTCTAGTCCCTTGAGAATTTTGAAAAAATAGCAATGTTTATACAAGTAATATAAAAAGCCCAGCGTTACAAGGCTTTTTCCATCAACAGGTAATCTTTCTTCATAGTAACGGACAACTTCAGAAGGGTTGGACAGCTGCAATTCTCAGACTACAAGAAAATTGATAGCTTTTATTCAGCTCTTTTTTACTACCGATTAAATTAGCTACTATTCTCTCTTTCTTTTTCTTCCTGACAAACCACCTTCTTCCTTTCCTATGTGATCAATTTCATTCTCTATCATCCTCAAATTATACTACAAAAGACCTTATGTGCAACAAATTGGTGGTGATATTTCAAAATTGTGTGTTCTTCGCACACAGAGATACCTCCAAAGAGTTCTTCATTAACTGTTTCGCTCGCCAAGAGGATTTTCATCTTTAAGTGAAGCCCAGCCGGGTGTAAATGTTCCTATTTTAAACAAATAAATCACAATTATATTAGAACTGTGGACTGTCAAAGAGAATTCTCCAGTAATCGCCAGTTTTACTCAACCACAGCAGGATGACTCATGATCAAAGCAAATCAAAATTATAAAAGATCACATCATAACATCTGGTCTATCCCTGAGGATATTTTCTGATATTTTATTCAATCTAAATGAAATACAAAGAAAAGAACATGCAAACATTTCCACCCCGTGGCAAGCATTTAATGGCAAAGTCAATACCTAAACTGTGTGAATGTAAGGCCATATCTTGTCTCAGTAAACAAAACCTCAAACATCAATTAGAATCTTCTCTTTTGAGATTTTGGTAACAGCCAAGGTATTTTGCAAACAATAGTTGAATGAAACAGAAAACATATTGACTTTTCTACAGGATCCGCCTGTCACAATCAATATTCATAACAATGTACTCAGAATGGTTTTTGCAAGTCCTTGTAAGCTGGCCTGAAGCCATCTGTGATCTCTTGCCGGGTTCCACTTTTGCCTGACAGGGTACATCTTTAAACAGCTGGCTGAGATTAAACATGCAGTGTGGGCCCTCGGAACAGAAATTTTCTCTCTACAAAGTCATTTAGCCTCTACATGAACATTGTTCTCATTAGACCCAAACTCTAAAAAATGGTTATAGCTATTCATGTGTGAGATGCCTTAAGAATAGAAAGTTGGGGAAAGTCAGCACTAGTATTAAAAGGTTTTGCAAATATAGATGATATTAATACAAAAAAAAAATAAACTGAGGTTGCAAATTATAATTGTAATTTCTTGCATTACTACTTTTCCCGATGGCCATGTTGAAATATGTCTTAGGTTCAATTCCCGCTCATCTTTCAGGGATGTGCAGGTCTTGCAGGTTTGGCAGGAGCTGCTGAACTTGAGTCTAGTCTCAGATAAGTTAGCATTCTGTTTTTCTCTTTGATTTCATTACCAAACAACTCCAGAAAATGGACGATACTTGGCTTTCATTGTATCATCATCCACCTATTCCTCTCCATAAACGTTTGCACTGTAGCATCCGTCCTTACTGTCTCTTGAAACTACACTTTCAGAATTCACAACTAAGTATCTGTTAAATCCATTGGCTTTCTCCCTACCATCAATCTCCTTGTCTCATCTGTTAATTTTTCTCCCTACTGTTCTCACTCTTTCTTTTTTTTACCAGCTACTGGAAAACAGGATCCAGGTATAACAAATTTTGAAGGCAAGCACCATGCATATTGTTTTGCAGATGAGGAACCCAGGCCCAGATGGAGTAACTTACCCATGCTCACACGGTCAGTAAGTGTCAGAGCTGAAATTTGAATTAGAATCTCTCTGACTCTAAAGGCAATAATCTTTCCACTATAATATGCTGCCTTCTTTGAAGCTCTTTCTATCCTTGGCCCGCCTATCATTACACTGTCCGGGTTTCCTACCAGCTCTAAAGATAACTTTTCCATTTTTTTTTTTACTGTGAAGTATATCATACACACACACGAGTATATAAAACTTACGTGTCTAGTTTACAGAATAATGATAAGACAAACATCACATTCTCCCCACGTCAGTTAAGAAGCAGAACACTACCAGAATATTAGAGGCCTTGGTGTACTCTTGCCCATGTGGATCCTCCTCACTTCCCCACAGAGGTAAACAACACCTTGAATTTTGTGCAGTAATTCCCTTGCTCTTCCTTACAGATACTCTATATACTGTTTGGTTTGCTTACATTTGAACTTCATTCAAACAGAATCATATGTACATAAATTCTTCTGTGACTTGCTTCTTTCGGTCAGTACCACAATTTTAAGATTCATTCATGTCAATGTACAAAATTACTTTATTTGTTTCCATTACTGTGTAGTGTGGTCCTCTAAGAGTATTCTCTGCTTCAGCATCACTTAGAAACCCATGAGAAATGTAGGCCCCATCCCAAACCTACTGATCAGAAACTCTGGGGGCAGGGCCCAGGAAATAAATTGTGTGTGTGCGTGCATGTGTGTGTTGTTTTAGGAAAAAGCGTAAAATCATTATTGGTTTGCATTATGAAAAGTTTCCATTTCAACATAAATTCCAGCAGCTGTTTAGTAAGGTAATAAGAAAACTGCGTTTTGACAGACGTTCTCGTTAACATTTGAGCATGCTGAAGTGTGAGAATGACTCCTGTACAGTGTTCCATTCTATGACATCACAATTTATCTACCTGTTCTACTTGGGACATTTGAGTCGCTTTCAACCCAACTACTATTATGAACAATCCTGGCATCAGCTTTCTGTACACTTCTAGTACATAAATGCTAGAATTTTTCTCCAAAGTATGTAACTAGGAGTAAAGTTGCTGGGTGGTTCAAATTTATCAAGTAATGTCAAACTGTTATCCAAAGTAGTTTTATCAACATTCAAAAAACTAGGAATAGGAGGGGAACTTCCTCGACCTAATAAAGTGCATCTACAGAAAACTTATAACTAACGCCATACTTTAATGGTGAAATACTACAAGTTTTCCCCCTATGATCTGGAACAAGACAAGGATGTCCGTTCTTGCCATGTTCTCGCCAGGGCAATTAGGAAAGAACAAGAGATAAAAGGCATCCAGATTGGAAGGAAGAAGTAAACCTATGTCTATTTGCAGATGAAATGATTTTGTATGTTGAAAATCCTAAGGAATCTGATAAAAATCTTATTGAGGCTAAGAAACGAGTTCAGCGTGGTTATGAGACTTGCTGGGGTGATCACTTCATAACTCACTACATTGTACACCTAAAACTAATCTAATGTTGTATGACAACTATAAATGAAATTTTTTAATTTTAAAAATTTAAAATTAAATAAATAATGAGTCCAACAAAGTTGCAACATCAATATTTTAAAAATCAACAGGTGAATTCTGGGCAAAGTGTATGCAGGTGTTCTTGGAACCATTCTTATTCTTGCAACTTTCTAAAATGTTCATGTCTATTAAAATTTTTATATTTTAAAAACTTTTATGTTAAACAAGTTTTTCAACATTGAAGAACACCATCCACATGGCATAAATTTCAGAAATATATAATTCAAGTAAACGAATGGTCTGTTTGGGAAATCATACTTTCTGTTTAATTGAACTATTATTCAATTTCATGCTTCTAATCATGTTGAAAAAATTCTACCTAAAATGTATTGGTATATTTAATTGCCTTATTGAGTAAAACATATTGATCCTGATTGAATCTCTTTTTAACCGGTTTCCTTCTTTCTTTCTTTCTTTCTTTTTTTTTTTTTTAGGCAAGGCAACCCTTGGTTGATCTCACAGATTGCAAGGACCTTGTCAGCTTACGATCCCTTACGTTTTTGTTTTTTACGCCTACAGCACCTGGTCTTCCTACGTGGTCTCCCATCCAAGTACTAATCAGGCCCAAATCTACTTAGCTTCTGAGATCAGACGGGATCAGGCTTGTTCAGGGTAGCGTGGCTGTAGACTGACTGAATCTCTTTTTAAATGGTCATCGGCCTGACTATTAGTGTTCCTTGTCCAGGAGTGCAGAGGTATGTATGCGTGTTCATGCATATATGTATGTATGCATGTCCCCATGTATATATGAGCATGAACAAAAAGAAAATAATTTGTAAAACTAAATTCCATTATTTGTCTGTTTTATCTTCATTTCCTCCTTTATCGTAAAAACTCACAGTGGAGAGAGAAGCCTTTCTGTTTCATACAAAATAATTGTTTTTCTGTTGTCAATAAGGTATATTTTAATTTTTCCTTTCTGTGCTGCAGAAAAGACTGTTACAATCCATTCTTTTCAAAAAAACTAGGAATACTGAAGCAAATGTCTAAACTAGATTTCAAAATGTGAATCGATGCTTTAAAAAATTCATTAAGCTAATATTCAAAAGTAAAAAAAAAACCTCTCATACCTTGTTTGCTAGGTCTACAGTACTAAGAGCCTTGTAATAGTCTCCGTCGTTCCAATCCAAATAAGTAGTGGCTAGTAACCGCAGAACTTTAGCCTGTAATTAAAAACAGGAAAAAGCACACAGCTGAGGGTTAAACTGCAATACAATAGCTGAGCAGCACTTACAAGGTGGCAGGCATCTTCTCAAACATAAGTCATCACTATGAAATAGCATTTCCTTAAGTAACCACATAGTCTTGAGATATCTCTCTTCATTATGCTACCCACACTAAATACTGTCTGAGGATTTTACAGTAATAGCTTATTTAAATTTAATATAATTGTGTCAATATAATTATTTTCTTAACAATGTTTTAGCATTAAAGTATTTTATCATCGCCACTTTAAAAATAAAGAGAACTAAGGCTAAGGCACAGCAATATTTAATTTAACCATCTTACTGCCTACTGTATAGGTGGCATTAACTCTCCATCAAAACTGATAAATAGAAAGACACGATCCCTCTCTCATACTTTATATTTTAGTTGAAATCAAGCAATTGGACCAGGGGATACATACCACCATTTCAGTAGGCACAGATATACTTTCCTAGAGAGATTTCTCCCAACTCAGCTGAGTTTTAAAATTAATAACGTATTGCTGAATTGAGCTAGTTTCTCCAGCCAGGTCTCCAGTGATAAAGGGAGTAAGAGTAACTCTACTCAGAGTGTATGTATTTAACCACAGATTCACATTTTGAAAAAAGGAGCTCTATTTCAATGAAGAATCTGCCTCTAAATATAGGAGGACCAGGTAAAGGTGATGATCTAACATTAAAAAAATGTTAAGCACATTAAGGCTCTACGAAACTAGAGAAATGACATTTGGGGTGTCTTCTGAGTTTTTTAATTCAAAAATGAAGATGGATCAAGACAGATGTATATCATGTACTTAATATCATTATTATTGTGGAATAACTCTCAACTTATAAACTGTCCCAGAGGACTTTTATGGAGTAAACATATACTATCTCTGAGAAACACTGCAACTGTTTCATAGTAAAAGGGTCAAATAATCAGAAAAAAAACTGTAACAAAATGAATGAATCTCAAAACTATTGTGCTAAGCAAAAGAAGGCAGACATAAAACAGTACATACTGTATGATTCCATTTATGCAAAGTTCTAGAAATGCTGAAAATAATTTCTAGCAATAGAAGTCAGAATAGTAGTGTTATTCTGGGGGTATGAACAGCTATTAACTGGACCAAGAGAAATTTTGAAAGTGATAGAAAGTTCCATAACTTTATCTGTGTAGTAGTCACAAGACTGCATAGATATATTAAAATTCATCAGACTGTACAATTAAGATTGTGCGATTTAGTATATATAAATTGTACCACAATGAAGTACTGCTAGCATGAAAGAAAATCTACTTCACCAACTACACTTTAATAAAATACTTAAAACCAAAAAAAAGGAAAAACTACTTCATAAAGTACTTCATAATCTTCCCTCTCTATACTTCACAATTTAAATATGACATTTCTTTTTTCGAATATTACATTTTGGTCAGGATTAAAGCCTATCTTCCATGCTCACTTCTTCCTCCAGACATCTCACGCAGACCCTCCCTTTTACGGCACGGTCCCCATCTGCTTTTCGGGAGCGTCCTACTACAGGCTTCTCCAACTAGTCTTGTCAATCCTGACAGGCCCCGCTCCATGCGCCCTTGTCTACATACTTACTTCGGGTCGGTAAACCACACAGTTTATTGCTTATTTTTCCCAAATTGTTTCACTCGTACTCATTTTTTGAAATCGATTTTTGAAATTTTAATTGAAGTATAAAATACAAAAAAAGTGCAAATCTGCAGAGTACAGCCCCATGGTGGCACAAAGCGAACGCATGGATGTTAATGACACGGAAACCAAGAAACTGAACACTGACAACGACGGGCTCCCCTCAGGCCCCTGTCCACACACTATTCCAACCAGCACAACCAACCGCCTGACTTTCCAGCATCGTGCCTCAGTTCTACCTGCTCCTGACACATTCACGGAATCACGCAGTATGTCCCACTTTATATCTTGCTTTATTTAGTCCACATTGTATGTCACGACATCCGTATTTGTTGCAATTCTTATGGATCGTTTATTCTCATTTCTATATAATATCCCCTTCTGTCGCACTATCACATTTTTTTATTATTTTCAATTGTGATAAAATACACATAACATAAAATCAACTGTCTTGACCATTTTTAAGTGTATGGCTCAAGAGAGTTAAGTACATTCACATTGTCATGCCACCACCACCACCACCGACCATTTCCAGATAGATCTCTTTTAATCTTGTAAAACTGAAATTCTGTAACCACTGAAAAAGAGCTCTCATGCTCCCCTCCCTCCAAACCCCTGCAGCCATCATTCTATTTTCTGTCTCTGAATCTAACTACTCGAGGTACTTCACCGAAGTGGAATCATGCAGTATTTGTCTTTTTGTGACCATCTTTTCACATTTATCATGAAGTCCTCAAGACTCAGCTACATTGTAGCATGTGTCAGTTTCCTTCCTTCTCAAGGTTGAGTCATATTCTATTGTATTCACTTGTATTAATTTCATACTTTAAACATAAGCTTTTTAAGGGTAGAGGCCATGTTTTATACTTTTCTTTTATTTCCCATTCATCACATTGAAAAAAATACAAACGCGCGCACGTACACACACACACACACACATATAGTAATGGATGTTCAAACAAATTTCATTTTGCTATGGCATGTATCAAATCAGATTTGCTTACATAATCGCATTTTTCTTGACTAAATATTAAAATTAACTCCCATACCAAGCATGTTCTATCTGGGTGGTTAGGGGAAAACCTAGAATTTATCAATATGCAATACTAAAAGCTAAAACTAATATAGCTAAACAATGTTTAAGCACGTTACATATATTAACTCATGGATACAAGAATCTACCTGTAGGATAGATCCTATTAGCATATCAATTTTATAGTAACTAATGCACTGAGATATTAAATGACATGCCCAATAGACAATCTTCTCACAAATGGGGGGATAGATACTATAATTTCATGACAATAACATAAACTATATATTCTGAACCTACTTGTACAATATTTAACATGATACTTACCAGCATTTCTGGATCGACAGAACTCTTTTCCATCTTTCCAATATCATAGCTTTGACTATAATTTAAAAGGGAAAATATGTATGTATAAATATCCATTTCAAGTTATATTATTTTAAGATTATGTATTACTAAGAAGACATGGTACAATTATACTTTATTCCAACTTTTCGTTTTTTTACAACAGATTGTTAGGCAATTAATACATCAAAATCAACTGTATAAAGCAATACTTTCTAACCATAAAGAAAAAACACAATTTCCTCAGGATATATATCAAATAAATCAACACTATAATTATATTATTGCTCTTTTCCATTAAACTAGTATATACAAGCTGTTAATGGGCACATTTTAAAGTCTAAGAAACATAAATGTATTTTAAAAAATAAAGCAAATGCAGGAGTTTTCACAGAAACAAATGTTTAGTAATATTTGTTAAGCTTCACGACACCCTTGTGAAGCACTTTTAGTTCCATTTTGTAGCTGAAAGAACCAATTTAGCAGTTAAATGATTTCTAATATTTCCTAGATTAGTACTGAAAATGAGAGTGAGGGGCTGGGGAGTAAAGAAATTTGACTTTCAGTTTTCTGCTTTAATTACCAAACCATATATCTATGGGACATGCTGATAACCACAAATAAAATATTAATATGAGCCTCAGGATTTCAAAACCTAATACTTAAAAAGCAAAACAAAGATCACTCACCATAAAATTGGTGTTCCAAGGGAGGACTGTCAATAAAACCTCAGTGAACTGAACTAAATTGAAAACATTACTCTGAAATATTTCTCATTTAAAAACTCTAAAAGACCCAGAACTAGCAAACTGAGTTTTCAGCTTGCTATCAAGGATACTGTAATTCTGGCCTAGTCATTGTAAGCCCTAACGCACAGAGGTCTCCTTTGGTACATTAAACCTTCTACATCTAGTTTTTTAAAAAGTCAATGAGGATGAGACTTTTGTAATAGTGGTATATGGAGTTCTTGAATCCTTTCTCCAGTGAAAAAGCTATTTTCCTGGAAAAATCATTAAAATAAATGAGCATTTAAAGTCTCTGTAAACTATCCTAAGGGTATACAGCAAATGGAAAAATATTTATTCCAAAAAATCAACTGAATCTCAGTAAAAACAGTGAATTTGTGTGGCATTTGAGCTCTTACCTCCTACCCACACCTGCTGCTATGCACACCGGCTCCATGTGACGGGAACTACTCCAGATGAGTGCTGTGCAGAAGGTGGGAATTCACTCTGCCTCCAGTTCATATACTCCCAGGCTATGGTTTCACCTTGGGAGGGGCAGGCTGCCAGTCTCTCTCATCTTCCCTAGGCCTGTGCTGTGTGGAAGTGTTATTCTGGGCAGGTACAATGGAAGAACTGGGTCTTCCTTTCCCCACCCAGCTGTCACTCTTAGAGGAAGGGCTCTGCCCCAAGTGTGAATGATTAAGAATACAAGGCCCCATCGATATATTTAAGAAGACTGAAATCATATCAACTGTTTTATCCAATCACAATGGTAAGAAACCAGAAATCAAGTACAAGAAAAAAACTGAAAAATATGCAAACACATGGAGGCTAAATAACATGCTACTAAACAACGAATGGATTAACAATGAGATAACGGAAAAAAATCAAAAGATACCTAGAGACAAATGAAAATAAAAACATGACTCAAAATCTATGGGACACAGTAAAAGCAGTCCTAAAAGGGAAATTCATAGCAATACAGGTCTACCTGAAGAAACAAGAAAAAGTTCAAATAAACAAGATAAACTCACACTTTAAAAAACTAGAAAAAGAACAGCAAACAAAGCCCAAATTGACTAGAAGGAAGGAAATAATAAAGATCAGAGCAGAAATCAATGAAATAGAGTCTAGAAAAACAATACAAAAGATTAACAAAACCAAGAGCTTCTTCTTTGAAAGGATAAATAAAATTGATAAACCCTTAGCTAGACTCATCAAGGAAAAAAGAGAGGCCTCAAATAATTAAAATCAGAATGGAACTAAGAAAAATAACCACAGACTCCACAGAAATACAAAAGATCATGAGAAAATACTATGAGTAATTATACGCCAACAAGTTGGACAATCTGGAAGAAATGGACATATTCCTAGAAACATACAATCACCCAACACTGAGTCAAGAAGAAACAGAAAATCTGAATGGACCGATTACCATGAAAAAAATACAATCATTCATCGAGAACCTCCCAAAACACAAATGTCCTGGACCAGATGGCCTCATAGGCCAATTTTACCAAACGTTCAAGGAACAATTAATACCTATTCTCAACCTATTCTAAAACATTCAAAAAGAGGGAAGGATCCCTACCTCCTTTCATGAGGCCACCATTACCTCGATTCCAAAACGGGACAGAGACATTACAAAACGAGAAAACTATAAGCCGATCTCTCTAACGAACATTGATGCAAAAATCCTCC